TAACCCTTGTATTTGGCTCAAAACTGAAAATTTTCATAAATTTCAACATTTGTATTAGGAGAGCATAAGTTGCATCGGATCTTTTTCCAAGTTCAGAAATAAAGCGCGGGATTAACTTCAAATTTATTCTAAATTGTTCAGCTCCTGAGCACACGATGGCTCTGGTAGTTTTCAAAAATTAACACAATTACCTTTCTTTTTACAGTATTTGTGCTATTTTATTCTTTACTGTTATTTAAGCCTGAGAACAAAATTAAAAACGCATAGTTTATTTATTTAAATGCCAAAGAATGATAAGAATGATGACATTTATTATTTAGAAATACAATTTACATTTATTATAACAACGTACAAATTTATTTCACATAACAATACATTAACATAAACAAAATGTCTAAGATATAATACATTTTAACGACTTACAAAAGTTAAGAATAAAATACCTGTAAGACAATAAAATCAATAAAATTTCAAAGCAATAAAATACAATAAAAAGCATCATATTCTCTACATAAACTGTCATACCATTATTATTTAAATGAAAGATTGGGGAGAAAAAAGCCCCCCTAACCTTCTGTGGCCTCCGCATCTCCCCTTATAGCCACCCTATCCACCCAAACGNTACAAATTTATTTCAAATAACCACAACACATCAGTATAAACAAAATATCTAAGATATAATACATTTTAACGACTTATAAAAGTTAAAAATAAAATACCTGTATGAGACAATAAAATCACTAAATTTCAAAGCAAATACAATAAAAAAATCATATTCTCTACATAAACTGTCACACCATTATTTAAATGCAAGATTAGGGAGAAAAAAGCCCCCCTACCCTTCCGTGGCCTCCGCATCTCCCCTTATAGCCACCCTATCCACCCAAACGAACATTAATTTTGAAAGCGTACACAAATAATTAATTAACGTAACAATTATGCCAAAAAATCAATTTAGAAACATTTCAAATATCAAGCTAAGTTATGATTAAAAAGATGTAACAGTTTATGCAGTAAAAAACAAAATACCTGTAAGAGAAAGACAAGAAAACATACGAAATTTCAAAGAAAATACAATAAAAAGCAAACAATANAATTTCAATTGGCTCGAAGCCAATAAAAAGCGAAATTATACGCTCGTTCAAATTTGAAAATTAGTTAGAAAGGAGCCGAAATTATGAATAATTTCCTTCTTTTTCGCAAAAACTCATTTTCATCAAAATACTCGTCGATTTACGATACTCTCTATCGCGCTTTTATATTAAATTCGTATAAACTACTATAAAGGGCGAAATTTTGTCCGTCCAGATTTGAAAAGTGGCTAGGCAGAAGCGAGAAATTATGAATAATTACCTTCAATTTCGTTAAAAGTCATTTTTATTAATTACTACACCCTACCGCGCTTTTATATCATATAATTTTAAATTCGTTTGAACTACTGTAAAAGGCGAAATTTCACCCGTCCACATTTGAAAATTGGTTAAGCAGAAGCCTAAATTATGAATAATTTCCTTCCATTTCGCAAAAACACATTTTCTTCAAAACACACTGGCGGATTATAGTTGACATTCGGGGCCCCTTGTTTCACTGTTATTGGTTGCAAAATGACAATAAACGTACTAATCTATAGTTAAAATCATTTTATTGACTACGGTGAAAATAGTTATAGGGGTTCAAAGTGTTACAGTGTAATTTTAGTTGTATTTATTAGTATTAGGGATAAAAATTAAATAAACTATATAACACATGCAAGATAAAAAATTGATTATAATAAAATGAACTTAAAGAATTGATTCTATTAGATAGAGCATACAAAATAAAGAACAATTTTAACTACGGGATCTTCTTTGTCTTCTCCACTGTCGATCTGAAACAGATAGGGTGGTAACAGATTAATAAAGAGCAATTACAATGAAATGAAGTACTCTCACCTTAATTAACTATAGCCTGTAACATTCCAGTGTTCACAAGTGTGAAAAGTAAACCAAATCCATGAGGAATACCATATCAGAAAATTTGTTGCTTCAGTAGAATTCAAATAAATCTCCAGTTGGTCTCCCTCATCGATCGAAAGTTAACTACATTATGTTGCAAGGTGAAGAGGAAAACAGCAAATCACTAATATAATCCAAGAAAGACGACACCCATGTAGATATTGGTTGTTTCAGTATGAACAAACTCAACTTTAATTCTTGCTCATCTGCTGAACAATCTGCAGAAATGGACAAAAAACACATTAATTACACTATTAATTAAGGATTGGAGTAAACACACCTAAAGATACGCTAAAAAGCAGATAACCTAGCTGAACATTATAACATAGATAAATGTCATAGAAATGTGAAATAACAGAAATGAACGAAAACGACAATTGATATTTGTCAAAAGAAATAACAACAAAGAGCAATTAATACTAGTTATGTCATGCATTATTACCTTAATTAAATACAGAAGCTAGCGTTCTGTAGTCTACAAGTGTGATAAAGAAGCCAAATCCTGGAGGGATACTACTGCAGACAACATTCTGGCTTCCTTCAGATACAGCTACATTCCGATGCGAAAAAGAATTTTTTCAACTAAAGTCGCTCAAAATGCGGTATCCAGAAGTTTGTGCAATGGTGTGATCAATATGTCACATTATGTCCATTCATTGCAAGACTAAAACAAGTGAGATTTGAAAAAAAATACATCATCGCTAGAAATCCAAACAGTTTCTCTACCTCTTTATCCAACCCGTTACAAATCAATTTGGATAATATTTTCATCATAAAATTGCTATTATTAAAATGGTCCAGGTAGAACAAACAAAGCGGGTTAAAATTCAGCACCAATTGATCTCATCACCTGAAAAAAAGTCAAATCCATTCAAATTTATCTTTAAAAAAATTGTATTTGATAAATCAAGCCAAATTTTTTGAAATCAAAGTTTTTTCAAGTATTTCTGTCATAACCGTGAAGTACCACCACATCTAAAAAAAAAGAGTAGGTTTCCGGAAGAACCAATTTACACATTATAACTAGCAATATTTTTTGTTAAGGTTTCGACAATTGAACTACTACCTGCCTAAATTTTTACCCATTTTTTTTAATTACTCACCTAAGAAATTGAGACGCGTTTGCCGGCCATTTTAACTGCAACAAACGACATAGGCATCGTCCAACGAGTAACGCAGCTTGAATAATAATGAACATGGTAGAACGCGTTGCCAATCGTTATACATCCGTACATGCGCAAACTACTGGTGTATAACAGTCGCAGTTATTTCAGGGCACGTTTAATTTTTAAATGTCATTTTCTTTAACAATCAAGTAAAAATTTGGGTAAAGAAATTAAGTTATTGTATATTGTATTAAAGATACACTTTTAAACAATTTCAAAGGTTTAGTAATAAGCTGTTATTGGTAGGTTTTATAATAAGAATTGTTAAACTTCATGCTTCTAAATGTAGCAGAAATACAGAATTTGACAAAAAAAGGCTCTTTTTAATGTACCTATGAAAAAGTTTACAGAATCGTTTTAATAGAGTTCTGAATGCACTATTTAAATAGAACAGCACGATTTTTACAAAAAATTAGAATATAATCTAATTGAACATTAGACGCATTTATATGATTACCTGATTTTTACATTAAAAATACAATTTTTATTGATTTATCATCATTAAAGCACATTTGAACCGCAAAATTAGCGAACGAAAAATAAAGCGATAGTGATTGTGTTATGATAAAGAAATACTTTTAGTGGCTCCTATCGATTTTTAACTTGAAAAGGGCTGTTTAAAATATAGCAGATACATAATTCTTGTAGGTACTTTGGTTAAATAAAATTTTGATAGTAGATTTATATTGTCGCCAATATTTTTACAAGCCCATAGGCGTAGCTACGATATTTCCTAGGGGGCTACTCTACCTAACATTAGCCGCTACCACTTATACATAGTGTAAGGGATAGCTTTCCAATAACTAAGAGAGTATGATGGCTATAGTTTCTGGAGAAATTTCACAAAAAAGGAATATACATACGTAAATTATTGTAGATTTAAATTGTTACTTGTAATTGAATAATTGATATTGTAGGGTGGACCTAGCCCTCCCAACCCCCATGCCACACTAATGTACAGGCCTTTTTAAGCTCTAAGTATCGTCGACTTGCGTTGCAAAATTGCAAAACTGGTCTTCACGAAAAGCTCTTTTATTTTAACAGAATAATTTACAGCCTATATCCAACTCGAAAGTCTATTTTAAATACTGATGAAAGGACTTTTGAAATCGGATAAGTAATCTCCGAGATTAACTCCTACATCCAAACTCATATCTTACATTACAAAAAATGTTTTTATTATTGGGATCCGTCAAATGGGCATATACCATCTGGTGGCAAAATTTTTAATTCGAATGAGAGAAAAATTTACATAGGAACTGTGCACGCAAATTGTAAAATTGTTTATAAAAATAATAAAACACGTTAAAAAAGTAAAAATTTTTTTGACGATAAAATCGACAAAGTTTTCTTCTAAAGTTAAATCAAATAAAAAGTTAATATGTTCAGTGAAAAGCTGCAATAGCACTTCAGACATAGATCTTCACTCTTCACCTACATTAACTACTTTCCAATAAAAACTAACCGTTTTATATATGTAAAAAATATATTCGGAAAATTAGAGAAAAAAGTAAACTAATAGAAGCTTGGATGAAAGCAGTAGGTATCAAAGAAGTGAATTCCGGAATAAAAATTTGTTCACGTCATTTTAATGCACATGATTATATTTCAGCAAGTATTTACCATCAGCCATAACCTTAATATTTAAAACTAGAATCATACTAAAATTATAAAGTGAGAAATTATTTATTCCTGTGTAATTGATTTAACACAATTCTAATGATACGATATAAGTATTTTGAGGTTAAGAACCTACCTGCTGCAATACAACAAAGTTGCAATAATGTGTTTGCAACGTTCTCTTAAATCGGCTTTGCACGTGCAAGTCATTGATATGATATTGCTTAAATCACCCAGAATCACCTCACCAATTATATAACGTGAATCACTTTTTAAATCCGAAGTTTGTAAAAAGTAGGCAGTAAACTTGACGGAATTTGAAGGCTAGCTTCCGGATTTGTTATTTCCGAATTTTATAATGTGATTGGCATTAAAAACACGCTCACCTTCAACGAAATTTCCTTTCCGAGGCTTTGTGTCAGCCCAATCACATATTGTGTCAATACTTATCATTTTATCGTAATTTAAAAACTTGGAAATTGCACGGTACACTATAGGAACTACGATAAATTTTCCCTAATCGGCGCCATGTTTTTAGGCTCCTCCCATTTGACGAATCCCAATATAACTATTTTGTGGAGTCTTTTTTAATTTTAATTAATTATAAGATATTACTGAAAACCATAAAGCAACAGCAAAATATCAGAATTATTTATACATAGCATCAATTCATTCGGATAAGCGTGAAATGTATATTATTTAATTTAAAAGCAAATTGGTACACCTTCGAACACATTTTTAATAAAAGACCGCAGTTCGTAAGAAACATTTATCAAGTCAAATATAATTTTATGGAAATAAGCACATATACCATGCTATGTTGTATTAATAAACGTATCTAACTAAGTATCTAATAATTACTGAATAATAAGTGCTCGTTTGGCTTTACAACCTGATCTTGAGAATTAGGTGCATGCAAAATAATTTATTTGCCTATATTAATAAACATTTCTCAATTTATCCATTCATTTTAGAACATCCAGTAATTTTCCACCTAGCGAATCGAATTAAGTAATACAGCAATAAGTGTATAATCCTAATTGATATCTAAATAAATAAAAACTTATGATAGAAACTAAAAAATGTCTGTAAACTTCCTAAAAGAAAACTTTGTCAATATTCTGCACAATAAATTTAATAAAACAGTGCATAAAATAAGTTTTATTGCATACTACGCGGAAAAAACGAAATTTTTATGACAACGCAAAAATTACAATTTTCTATTGCCGTAGAAATAGTAAAATTTATTAGGTAACTTGTAATAATCTCAATTTTGACATGGTTTTATAAAAATTATTTCAAGTTTCTTAATTATTACAATTCAATTTGTAATATCAACTAAAATACCTAGTAAATTTATTTCTGCTGGGATTTTATTTTTACAAATTCGGGTCCAAATTGTAATTTTTATTATTTTCGCTTACGAAGCAACGGGATAGTGGGATAAATTGTAAATATCGCTGTAATATTTAAGTAAATTTTCCCTTTTCATTTTCCCGTGTACATACTTATATATACTTATTTGAAATTTTCGGTTTGCTTTACGACATTTTAACACTAATCTTAAATATAAAGGCAAATAATTTTTTTTTTTCGATATAAGAAATTCGATTCGAAATAAGGACCAAGACCAAGATCGAATAAACAAGACCAAGACCAATACCAAGATGGGGCAGTCTTGGTCTTGGGCTTACTTTGCTCACCAGTAGTAATAAATAAAAACATTTCATTTTAAATATCGGTTTGAGATGATGCTTTAGACTTTTGGAAATAACTAAATTAATTATACCTTCAAATTCCTCAGTAATAATGGTACACAGCAATTAATTTAATAAAGTAGTTTATAATATGGTTTTATTGCCTGTTAAGTTCTTTAATTTGATCATTTGGTTAATAGATACAGTTGTTATTCACTATGCGTCGACTAGAAATAATTCAATGAATTTTTGACATTTTATTTCTCTTTGTTTTTTAATTAATTTTTAGCGTGAAAAATAATTTATTAAAAATGGAGAAATATGAGTCTCTATGTGTTAAGTGTTAAATGTTCGCTTCTGAAAACAAGAATTTTTAAATTTTAACTCTCTTTTCACTGTTGTCAATAAAAAGGTTTTAATTATTTATTAATTACCCAGTAAGTATAAAATTTATCGTGATTACATCGTATATGAAAATTCGACTGGACTTTTGGCTTCAGGGAGTGGTGTAAAGCCAATTGAGTAATTACTTTTG